GGTTTCTCAAAATGTTCCAGATTTTTTCATACAAAATATGAGTGTTGCAAATCATTTTTTTTTCATGTATGTGCTCTGGTTTCAAAAATACAGGTTACAATAGCGTCGTTTCAGTCCAGAGGTAACTGCGTACACAGTGATGCCAAGTGGAACAGCCTTGGACAAATGAAATTTTATAGCAAGTATATGATAATTTCCCCTATTAAACCCCATGCACTAAACAATAGAATAGCTCTTTAAACAAATGCATACTATTTGCCTTTTATATAAAGTTTTATTTAAAATATATCTTTTCTCTCAGATGCGAGATGTGATAAAGGGACAGGAGACAAGGAAGGGAAAGGAACTGGCCCTTGTTAGAAGCATATCCAGTGTCCTAAGGCCAGACGCTGTTCTGGATGCTTCACAGCCTCCCCGTGGGTAACATCTGGTGGTGCTCCTTCCTGGCCACATGACTTTGGGCCAGCTGGACATTCCTAAGTCTCAGTTTCCTCTGGTTAAATGGCGATAATAGAGCAGTCCTTTCACTAATGATTATGAGGATGAATTCAATGAATGCCCGTAAATATGCTCTTCAAGTACCTGACACAGGGTAAACACCGCATAAGGGTGAGCAGCTATTATTTATGTGTCCCTGACCTGACAACCTAAGGCCAGCCTGCTGAGATCACACAGTTAGTGGGGAAGCCAAGATTCAAATAAGGGTCTTTCTGACCCCACCTCTCACATTTTCCATGTTAGAAAAGTACGTTGAACTGTAGTTGTGAAAAGGGAGAATGAAAGAAGGAGGGAAAGAAGAGTCAGATATGGGAAGGAAAACGGACAGTGAAAATGGGAATTTAAGAAACGGGAAAGGGCAAAGGAAAAGAAAAAATCGTAAGAGAAGAGGCAGTGGGAGGTGAGGGAGAAGAGCTGGAAGAGGGTCGGGGAGAGAGGAATGGAGAATCTCTGGGAGACCCTGCAGCCCCTTCCTCCCCAGGCCCGGTGCCATTGCTCCTCCATTGGCTGGTTCCTGGTCCAGCATCCTGGTCTGCCACCTTTCACCTCTTCTGACACCTGCCTGCCCCATATGCTCTTGTAGCTTGCCTTTCACCATCCTCGAGTCTCACAACTAGCTCCCTGATCGCTCCTCACTGCCCCAAGATGAAGCCCAAACACCTGAGCATGGTGTTAGAGATAAGTTAGAGAACAGACTCCCACCTGTCTTTCTAGACATACCTTCAGCTGTTCTCCGCCCTCTATCCTTTCACTCTATTTTTAGCTATAAGGAAATAGGCTTTTTTTTTCTACACCAAATTACAACCACTTTATTCATAAATGCTTTTCCGATTTTTTTTTTTATTCTGACACTCAGCAGAACACATCAGTGCTGTATTTTAATAGTAAACCGAAAAACTAAATTTGTGCATGATTGGTATTTAATTTTTCAGTAAAACTTTTCATTTTATTTTATTAAATTCACGTATCATTTACAAAAAAATGATGCTGTAGGTGTTTCTACCCAGTGTCATCTGACTTATTAAAGTATAATAATCAACTGACATAATGTCCTCTTTTGTCATTAAAATATCATGTTCACACATATACCTGGGAATACATTTACATATATGTATATTACATCAGAATCATAATCACAAAGAAGTATTTTGTTTTAGATAATAGCATCTCCCTTTTACTCTTATGTGAAAACTCAGATTCTATTGGTATCTTGCATATTCGGGGCATTATGATTTTACTTTTTCTTATTTCTTTCAATTCTTCTCTCCTTGCTTTACCTACCTGTCTCTTCCTCTACTTTCCCCCAATTTTTTAAACTCATAAACTGGAGATTGATATTTTAATGGCAAAACATGGCATAGAAACAGTATGCAAGCCAGACCTACCTAATAATGTTGTAGACTGACTCATGGTGTTAGAGATCAGACTCATAAATGTACAGGAGCCGATGAACTCAATCAGGTAAACCAGAATGGACAATGGGAAGATCTGGAAGCAATCTTTGAGAAGTTATTTAATCTGGTAACTTATTGATATTTTATCCCAATTCATATACCCCAGTGTTCATGATACTAAAAAACCAAGAGACCTAATATAGATAAACATTCATGAAAAAAAGGCACCAATTCTGAACAGACCTCAGCGTGTGTTGTGAACTGATGCCATGTGGCATTTCCTGTCATAGAGAGTACATAGTGCTTGATAATAGGAAAGTTTGTTAGTGAAAAGCAGTCTCAAACAATGGGTGGTTGGTAGACTCCTTTTTCAGAAAGCTGATGTGCTGAGCTTCTGTAGCTCAGGCAGGATAATTCCGAGAGGATGAAAAGAGGACTCCAAAAGTGTCCCTTCACAAATCCTATATTGAGTGTTAATGTTTAGGGTGCAGAATCAATAAAGAACTATACTTTTTAACTAAACTATATTCTCTAATGCCTTTATTGCTGCAATTTCTGATACTAGAACACTTGTCATGCTGTCATCAACAAACGTATGGGTCTTTCAGGTCAGCTCTATGTCCATTAAGATTTGAAATGTGCCCTTAAGGAGCATATAGTTTAGTAGGGGAGACAGACTATTAAACAGCTAAAAATAATAGAGCATAATAAGTACTATATAACACACAGAATAAAGAGCTAAACAAATACAAATGAGGGAGCCATTTTATTAAATTGAGGGACTTGTGGGGCCTTAAAAGATGAATACGAGTTTTCCAGGCAGGCAGGGCTGGGAAGGGCATTTCTGAAAGAGCGCAAAGGCAAAGATCTGGTGGCAGCAAAGTGCATGGTATGTTCAATGGCAGTGGTGGGTAGAATGGTGGGGGGAGGGTTAGAGTTGACTGGAGAAGGCGAATTTGGTAAGAGTAGCCAAGGATGAGGCTGGAAGAACAGGTTAGTCCAGAGTGTGCTCAGGGTAAAGAGGAAGTGTTGAAGTGTGGAGGAGAGAAGGTATGGAACAATCTCTCTATTTTCTACTTTAGGAAATTCTACTCATCCTTATCAGTTCTTCCCTGACCTAGCTGCTACCCAGGAAAAATGAAACCCTCTCTTTTTTTTTCCCTGCGTGTTTTCTTTATGTTTTAAATTTTTTTTAATTGAGGTATAATTGACATATAATGTAGTATTAGTTTCAGGTATACAACATAATGATTCGATAGTTGTAATAATTACAAAATGGTCACCACAATGAGTCTAGTTTACATCTGGCACATACAAAGTTATAAAATTTTTTTGTGTGATGAGAACTTTTAAGATTTATTTTATTGGCAACTTTTAAGTATGCAGTACAGGATTAACTGTAGTCACCATGCTATACATTACATCCCCATGACTTATTTATTTTATAACTGGAACTTTTTATTTTTTGACCACCTTCGCCCATTTCTCAGCCTCCCTCTCACTCCCCGCCTCTGGTAACCATCAATCTGTTCTCTGCATCTATAATCTTGGGTTTTTGTTTGTTTATTTTAGTTTTTGTTTTGAGATCTCAGGTATAAGTGAGATCATACGGTATATCTCTTTCTCTGCCTCATTTTTTTTTTTTACTTAGAATAATGCCCTCAAGGTCCACTCATGTTGTCACAAGTGGCAAGATTTCATTCTCTTTTATGGCTGAATAATATTCCATTGTATATATACCACGCTTTCTTTAACCATTCATCTATCAATGGACACTTTGTAAGTTTCCATATTTTGGCTATTGTGAACAATGCTTCAGTGAACGTGAGGTGTGTATATCTTTTCTAGTTAGCGTTTTCTTCCCATGTTGTTTGTTCATATGGTCCGTTAGCCCCATATCCCATTGTTTCTTGGTTGGTTTAGAAGACTGCCTTTCTCTGTAGGCTGTGAAACCCTTGAGGGAGGGGGTTTTTGTCTTACCTGTTTAGGTTACTTGGAGACATAATAGATGCCAAATAAATGTGTCTTAAGTTGGGCTATTCTATAGATTAATATTTCAACTAAGGTTTTTTACAGCTTTAAAATTGTAAAGATTCTATGATTCTAAAAATTAACATCTTCCACACTGTCCTAATTTTATGTAGTCTAAATGGCAGAAATTATTATCTTTACTGAAGAACTCCTTTGGCATCGTAACTTGTTTGGCATGAATCACTTTTTTTTTTTTAAATGTAATTTGTTTAAATTTGAAGTTCTTTGTCTAGGAAAGTGAAATGTTCACATTGTGAAACTCTAAAAATAACACACTGGAGAGATGATGCCAAAACAATGACTTAAGTCAGAAATGCTTTCTGAATCCACTATTTAAATGAGAACTAATTACTGAATCAGATCATGGTTACTAGGCATTCATTGTTTTAAGGCAATTAACAACAGTATTGAGAAATCTAAGTAATGAAATATTTTAAAACCTTCCAGTTTTGTTCAGATCTCTAATGTGTTGCAATGATCAAATGTTCCTTATGTGCATGTTGTAATGTGAATGATTATATCTTATAATGAAGTTTTAATGAAGAATATCATTCTCTTAGCAGACAGGTTCTCCCAAACCAGATCCCACTGACCATATATTGTTTTATTTAAGATTAATTTAGAAACAAGTGCTCTTCTTTTGCAATGTAATTTAGTAAATTTGCTGGGATCAAATTTACTAAGGTGGTTTCCTATAAATTTCTACAGAGAAGTACCAGATTGAATAAGCCAGTTTAAGAAACTATCTTGTTTCTGTCAAAGTGGTTTCTCAAGCATGAAATGCAGATACGGAGCGAGGAAACTTCAGAAAACTCCATTTAGCAGTCCTTGTGGATCTGTCTAGCAAGGTTTGGTGGTGTTAACCTCAGAAGCATTTTGATGTTGCTTGATTCTTTTTTCTTTATTTGGAAATATATGCTGTTTATTTCATATATAAGATATAAGGTCTTTAATAATAAACTGATCGGTCTGTCAGCATAATTTAGGATTTACTTAATAACTTAATAATCTGTTTTAGAGGTCGTTTTAGTTCTAGATATAAACTGTTAAATAATTTAATGTTTATTTTTTCAACAGATGTGAATTATTAAAAAGAAAAATGGCCCAACGGAACACTGTATTTCCTTCTCTTGTCACCAAGGAAAGGTATAATATATGGAAAATATGCATCTAAGGTATACTTTTTCTTTTCACCAATCCCATGAGGGCTGCTAGTGGGTGCGACGGTCATTATAAATGAAGCCTTGTGGCTGTTACATTATCCAAGAATGATTTTGTTAAGGGCAAAAGAAATACTGTTGTGTCCCCTCTCTAGCTTCCAATTACTAGAATACTGTGGACCACTCAGTGACCATGAGAGGTGGAGCTTTCACAGTAGCCCTATAGTAGTCCAGTTGTTCTTCTGGTCAACAACAAAATACAGTTCTGGAGCCTTGGGGGCTGATGTCCCTGCTAACCTTTTCAAATCACAAGTTGCAGATTAGATGTCCATATGCCAATATTGGCTCATGGAAATACATTGTTCGACCTGCATCATCTTAAATACTTTTTAAACGAGTTGTTAAAGCTTAAAAATCAGGTGATTTCACATACAAGTCTGAATTTCCTGGCTCTTTTTGAAATATCAGACAGTCTGAAAAAATGGACCTGGCATTCCCAGATGGTTATTCATGGATGGAGCAGAATCATGGCTCCCTTTAGTTGAGGGATGCCCTTTCCAAAAGTTCTCTGAAGTTCCCACCATCCCCTTTTGCATTGCATGTGGGGTGCTTCACTCATTTATGTCATCTCCCTGACCTTTGCAGGGTTTGTAACTACTGCTTTAAGGGGAGGGAGGTGGAGGGCATGTCAGGATATTTTGTTAATAAGCTTGATCTTGATAGCACAGCTTATACTAGGGAGACATCTCAGTGTGCCAAATTCCATCAGCCTCTTGCTTTTGGAGGTCATGGTACCTGCTACCATCACACTTTACTCTCTGGGTACTATTGTTTAAAGATGCTACCTGGCTCACGAAGAAAACTCTTTAGGGCAGAAACCCGGCCTCCAACTTTATTTAGCTTGTAGGGATAGATAATTTGCATTTTGTGCTCTGGGAAGTCTCGAATCTGGCTATAAACATGACTTTTCCCCAATTAACAACAGTAGTAATGGGGCTTCTTTCCATAGGCGAGTTAGGACCATGCCCCGGCACAGCCAGTCCCTGACCATGGCACCCTACTCCTCAGTGAGCCTAGTAGAGCAGTTAGAGGACAGAATCCTCTGTCACGAGAAAACGACCGCCGCCCTTGTGGAGCATGCCTTCCGAATTAAAGATGACATCGTCAACAGTTTGCAGAAGATGCAAAACAAAGGGGGAGGCGACCGCTTGGCCAGGCTTTTCTTGGAGGAGCATATTAGAAACATAACTGCCATTGTGAAGCAACTTAATCGGGATATCGAGGTAAGGTGTGTGACCGTCAGGTGGGCCATGTCCCTTTCCACAGGCTTGCTCTACGTCGGGAAGTTGGCAAATCCAATTCCCATCTCCCAGGCAGTAATGCCTTCTGACCAAAGCTGTCTGTCTTATCTATTCTTAATGATCGCCAAGGAAACAGCTTGAACAAATATCCTGGTTAAATGTATTCCAGTATTTGATAGCAGTGACTGTCAGTGTTATTTATGTTTAATCTAAATTTACCTTGCTGATTATTAAATCACTTTGTTTTGTTTGGCTCGCAAGAGAGAGAAAGAAGAACTAGTCAGATAGTTTCCCTGTAAAACCCTTCATATCACTGAAGACAGCTATTAAAACAATTACTAGGTCAACCTTTGCTCTTCAAATTAAATCTTTTTAGGTCATGATGATTATATGTAATATAGTTTATTACTCAAACAGCCTAGAGATTTGAATTGCTTCTCAGACTCCCCTTTTATTGCTTTGTTTTTCTCTGCATTGAGCTGAATAAAAAGCCAATATTGTTTATTTTTAGAATTTGTAAATTTACTGCTATTTATTAAGCAATCACAGGGACCACACAATTTAGTTCAGAAAGCGTAAGAATCATTTAGGGCCTGGGCTTCCATTACTGCCCAATGTTAATGTCCTTCACATGTAATCTTTAAATATATGAATAAAAGGATATATGACCAGATTAAGGAAGATTTGTGTTTCAAGTCATGGAGATTTTGTCTTGATTATGCTTAGGAAATTAAGCCTCATTTTTTTTCTGGCGTCAGATTTGTATGTGTGTATTTATATATTTATTTTATCAGCCTTATTGAGGTATAATATAAAAACCACAAAAATTCACCCATTGTAAGTGTACAATTCAACGATTTTTAGTAAGTTTATAAGATTGTGCCACCCATCAATATCATTCAGTTGTAAAACATTTCTGTCACACCCTTAAAATTATATAAGCCTGTTTGCAATCAATCTCTACCTCCACCCCAGCCCCAGGCAACCACTAATCTGCTTTCTGTCTCTATAAATTTGTCTTTTCTGGACATTTCATATAAATGAAATCTTATACAGTCTATTGCACTTGGCTTCTTTCACTTAGCATAATCTTTTTGAGATTCAGCCATGTTCTAGCATGTTCTTTTTTATATATGTATAGTATCCTTTTGTATGGATATACCATGTTCTGTTTGTCCATTCATTAGTTAATGGACATTTGGATTGTTTCCAGTTTTTAGCTATTATGAATAAAGCTGTAATGAAAACTTGGGTACAAGTCTTTGTGTAGGTATATGTTTTCATTTCTCTTGGATAAAAATTACTAGGAATAGAATTGCTGGGTCTTACAGTAAGCTCGTATTTAACTTTTTGAAACATATGCAATCAGTTTTGCAAAGTGGCTATAACATTTTACAGCTCACCAACTGTATGACATTTCTCCACATCCTCATTTCTCTACATCTGGTATTATCTCTCTTTTTAATTATAGTCATTATAGTGCATGTGTAATGGTATTTCACTGTGGTTTTAATGACTAATGGTATTGAGCACCTTTTCATGTGCTTATTGGTCATTTCCATGTCTTATATGGCAAAATGTCTATAAAAGTCTTTTCAGTTTTTTTTTAATTATGTTTTTATTTTGGTAAGATATTTACCATTTTAAACATTTTAAGTATACAATTTAGTTACATTAAATACATTTAAATGTCCTATGCAACCATAACCACTCCCCATTTCCAAAACGTTCTAAGCATCCCAAACAGAAACTATGCTCCTGTTAAACAATAACTTCCTATTCCACACTTCCCTCAGTCCCTGGTAACCTCTATTCTACTTTCTATGAATTTACCTATTCTAGGTCCATCATATAAATGGAATCTTACAGTATTTGTCCTTTGATATCTGAGTTATTTCACTTAGTACGTGTTCAGGGTTCATACATGTTGTAACGTTTAAGAACCCATTTTTATATTGGATTATTTGTCATATTATTGAGTTGTAAAAGTTCTTTATATAGTCTAGATAGAAGTCTCTTATCAGATACGTCATTTGCAAATATTTTCTTTGATTCTGTTGCTTATATTTTGATTTTCCTACTAATGTCTTTTGGAGTGCAAAATTTTTAAATTTTAATGAAGTTCAACTGATCAGTTTTTTTCTTTTACATTTTATAGTTTTAGTGCTGTGTCTTAAGACCTGTTTGCTTAACCCAAGGTCACAAAGCTATTCTATGTTTTCTTCTAAAGTTTTAGTTTTAGTTCTTACATTTAGGTCTGTGATCCATTTTGAGTTAATTTTCATGTTTGAGGTGAAGTAAAGGTCCAAGCTAATTTTTTTTTCTTGTGGATAGCCAGAGAAAATCTCCCCATTTGTCCCTTTGTTGAAAATCGATTTACCATAAAATATAAGAGTTTATTTCTGGATTCCATTGATCTGTATGGTTTTCCTATTCCAATACCACATTGCCTTAATTTCTAGCTTTAGAGTATATTTTGAAATCAGGTAGTATATGTTCTTTACCTTTGTTCTTCTTTTCAAACTGTTTTGGCTATTCTATGTCCTTTGCATTTTTATATAAATTTTAGGATCAGCTTGTCAGTTTCTATAGAAAAGCCTGCTGAAATTTTGACAGAAGTTACTTTGGATGCATAGATCAATTTGAGGAGAACTGCCATCTTAACAAACAAAATCGAGTCTTTGATAATTTCAAGGAAACAACTCTTGGTTTTATTAATTTTTTTCCTATTGCTTTTTTGTTTTCTGTTTCATTGATTTAAGCTCTATATTATTTCCTTTTTTCCTGCTTGCTTTGATTTAGTTTGCTTTTCTTTTTCTAATTTCTTAAGGTAGAAACTTAGGTAATTGGTTTGAGATTTTTTTTTTTGTGGTAATGGTATTTAAACCTCTAAACATTGCTTTAGCTGCTTCCCATGAATTTTGGTACATTGTGTTTTTGTTTTTATTCAGTTGAAAATATTCTAAAATTTTCTTTGTGATTTCTTTTTTGGTTCGTGTGTTATTAGAAGTACGTTGTTTAATTTTCAAATGTTTGGCATTTCCTCAAGTTTATTTCTGTTGTGGATATCTAATTTAATTCCATGCGGGCAACCTCCCAAAAAACAAAAGTCCTGGATCAGATGGCTTCATAGGTGAATTTTACCAAACATTCAAAGAAGAATTATCACCTATTCTTCTAAAACAATTACAAAAAAATTCAAGAAGAGGGAAGGCTCCCTAACTCCTTTAATTCTATGTGGGCAGAGACTATACTTTGTATATTTTTAATCTCTTTTAATTTGTTAAGACTGTTCTGTCAATTATTGAAATCTCCAACTCTTATTGTTGACTTGTCGATTCCTCCTTCTAATACAGTCAGTTTTTGCTACATGTATTTTGGGGCTCTATTGTTAGGTGCATATACATTTATAGTTGTAAATTTCTTCCTGATGTATTGATCCTTTCAGCATTATAAAAAGTCTCTCTGTACCTCTAGTAATTTTTCCTGTCTTAAAGTTCATTTTTCTGATATTAATATAGTTTTTTAACTCTTGTATAGTTATTGTTTGCATAATTTCCTTTTTTGATAATTTTCACTTCATTTATGCCTAAGTGAAGTCCTAGTCTACCACATGGTTACCAACTTTCACTGTTCTTTGAGGTTCTCACATATCTTTACTAAGGACCAAAATTCACTCAGAATTGTACTGTAATTGAAGTGAATTTGTCTTAGGATTCTAAAATTTCTGGTCTATACTTCTTAAAATGTTTTTTAAAAGGGGCTATGTGTTTGTTTTAAGTGGTTATAATGGATCTTTGTTGTTTTGGAAACTGATGGCATCCATCTCTATTTCTTTTTATGACAGCAATTTGATTTCCTTTCTTCCATTGGATACAAATTGAGTGGCTATTAATCAGGGTTCCTTATCACCTTTTTAGCTAAAGAGGATGGATTAGAGTTCATAATTCAGAGCAGAACATTGAGACTCTCACTTCCTGGAGCTTGAAACCTAAGCAGAGTGATCCAAGGCCTAGGAATGCCCGGAGCATCTTCCTTGCAGCAGCTGTGCCTGCAAGATACTGGCCCATTAGTGGTTCCTGCTGCCTGGACCTTAGGAAATGCTTCTGAGTTTTTTTCTCTCAGTCTGGATCCCCAGCTGTCCTGTTGATTGTGTACACCTCTCCACTATATACTTCCAATAAATTCCATTTTTACCTTGGAGTTAGCCAGAGTCAGGTTCAATGGCCTGCAACCAAAGAGCTCTAATGACATCAGAGGGGGCATAGAAAATTTTAGAGGTTGCCATAGATAATTGACTTGTTTTTGGAAGGTTTGTGTCTATATTTAGAGTGATCTTTTGAGTTTTATATCTGAGTGCTAAAGCACTTTTATCCCATGCTGAATAACTTGCCAACCCCAAGTTGGCACCTTCACAAAACTAAAGAACCTCAAGTTAAACATTTTAATTTTGAAAAGGTTTAGAGCTAGATTAGGGAGCTGATAGTTCTGCCATACCCAAATATAGAGAGGGAGATAGATCAAAGTGATTGGGAATAAATAATGATTCTTAAGTTCCCATCCCCTCAACCAATGGCAAAGTCATTAAAATATACAAACACCCCTAAGTTTCATCTTAGAAAATAGTGTGACCTCTGCATTCTTTCCATGCCCAGCTTTCCCTGTGGGTACTCAGCTGGGTTCTCTTTGCTCATGTGGGTGGTGGACAGAATAGAGACGAGGCAATCTATTCCCATGTTACTGTCCTCTGGTAAAAACTTAGAGCAACTCTACCCTTGAAAACCCTGGACTTAATTTTTTCTGTCAATGTAAGAGGTGATAGATAGTGCTTTTGCTGCAACTATGGGACCCGGGGAATAATTTCCCTTTGATAGCTGCTATGTACTAATTCAACAAGCAGAACCATTTTAAATATAGTTTCCAGCTTCAGCTGAGCCCTCAATGCTGTTTGATATAATAGTTCCTTCATTCTAGGAAGCCCT